CAAGTGGGAGAGTGCTCACCTTGAGCTGAAGAACTGAGGAACAGCGTCCAGGCCCAGAGTTCAAGCCCCACGACTGACGAAAAAAAAATATTAAAAATAACTAAGAAACATACTGTAAAATCTGATAGTCATTAACTAGCTAACTGGGGTGGCTGAGCACTGGAATGTGGCTAGTTCCGATTGAAATGGGCTTTCAAGTAAAATACACATTCATATGGTGAAGATTTTCTATGAAAGAACATAAACTGTAGTTATTCTTATATTGTGACATACTAAAGAAAAAAATCTGCTTGAAAAAATGCACATATTATTTCACATTTTGAGTACTAAAATATGAAAATTAAATGTGAAAGTGCACTATATTTTGGGGGAGGGACATACTGCTCCAGGAGTAATCACTAGGAAGTGGAGATGTGGCTCAAGTGGTAGAGAGCCAGCCTGGAGCAAAAAACTTGGCAAAAACATGAGACCCTGAATATGGGCACGAAAAAAGGAGGGAGAGGGCTAGGAAGGTGGCTCAGTGGTAGAGCACTTGCCTTGCATGCATGAGGCCCTGGGTTCCATTCCTCAGCACCACATAAGCAAAAAGAAAAAAGCTGGAAGTGGCGCTGTGACTCAAGTGGTAGAGTGGTAGCTTTGAGCTGAAAAGCTGAGGGACAGTGCCCAGGCCCAGAGTTCAGGCCCTACAACCGGACCCCAAAAAACCAAAAAAAAAAAAAAAAAGAAAGAAAAAGTTAAGCACTTTGGTTTTGTCATGTTATTAACAAACTTGAAAGATTTATATCCCTGCTTCTATACTCCAAACACATTTCTTTAACTTTTATATGCTATGATCTTCTCATACAGTCTATTTAGCTATATGGCTATTAATAGCCAGTTTCACATATATCTTTCTATGAACTCTGGCCTTTTTACTTTTCTAAAGTTTAGTAGCTGGATTGCAGCAGAGTATACAAAAAAGTCAAGCAAGAGTGGGAGGTCTGAGTTCATGTGCTGGTACCTTAACACACAGACAAAAATGTCCTTCATAAAACTTTCGTAACAAAGTATCTACTTTGTCTAGTTTCTCTTTTAAAACAGTGATATGTTCCCATATACTACTATATTAGTATAGAACAATTCTTCAGGTAAGAGTCCTTTCACTTATTTTTCTTAGTTTATATTTATTATGAGAATAATACTGGAAGAAACCAAGTATCATGCAACATATTAGTTTCCATGTCAATAAGCACTTCCTCTTAAAAAGTTTCATAATATAAAATACTGGACTCAGGCCTTCATTGTAGCAGTGTCGAGTAAATAAAAGTCACAATTAAATGATGTTATCTATTCCAGACTAATCTAGATTATCTGAAAGAGAATTTTAAGAAAATCACATTTAATCCAAAATCAAACCACTATAACAGTAAGAGAAGTATTTAAAATAAAATTACTCACAACTTTGCAGAATGTTACAATAAAAACAGAAATTACTAGTGTCATACACTTAAATGTATGAGAAAAGAAAATCTGTATTAGTTTACTCACAAGTCTCAGGGCTCACTGAATTCACACACTGGCCCAGGCCCAGAGTTCAAGCCCCACAACTGACAAAAACAAACAAAAATAATAATCTGCTTTAAACTATTGGATTTCCTATATACTTTAATGTTTGAAAAAAAAAGTGGCTTTAAATTTAGAGTCAATCCCTTTCCATAAAAGACAAATAGGAAAATATGTGATTTTTAGGCCACAATACCATACCTGTCACATACCCATCTTAGTCTTTAAAACTCCTTTAAAAATTTAATAAAGCCAGGCCCCAGTGGCTCACGCCTGTAATCCTACCTACTAAGGAGGCTGAGATCTGAGGATTATGGTTCAAAGCCAGCCCAGGCAGGAAAGTCTGTGAGACTATTTATTTTTTCCCAGTTGTGGGGCCTGAATCTGGGCCTGGGTACTGTCCCTCAGCTCTTCAGCTCAAGGCTAGCGCTCTACCACTTGAGCCACAGTGCCACTTCTGGCTTTTTCTGCTTATGTAGTGCTAAGGAATCGAACCCAGGGCCTCATGCATGCAAGGTAAGCACTCTGTCACTGAGCTATCTTCCCAGCCCCTGTGAGACTCTTAACTCCAATAAACCACCAGAAAACCATAAGTGGCACTGTGGCTCAAGGGGTAAAGTGCTCCCCTTGAGCTGAAGAGCTGAGGGACAGTGTCCAGGACCCAGAATTCAAACCCCAAGACCCACCAAAAAAAAAAAAAATTAATGAAAAAAAATTGTCCAAAAAGAAACGTACTCATTATCTGACTTATATAACCCCTCTATAGATCACCTTCATAGTAATTTTTTTAAATAAATGTAAAAATACGTTCTTACACTGGGTACTGGTGGCTCAGGCTTGTAATCTAATTACTCAGGAGGCTGAGATAGTAATTCAAAGCCAGCACAGTCAATAAAGTCCATGAGACTCTTACCTCCAATTAACCACCAGAAAACTGGAAGTATCTCAAAGTGGTAACGTGTTCGCCTTGAGCAGAGAAAGCTAAGGAACAGCACACAGGCTCTGAGTTCAAGCCTCACAACTAACCAAAAAAACAAAAACATTCTTTTTGTTTTTGTCTGTTGTGGGGTTCGAACTCTAGGCCTGGGTACTGTCCCTGAGCTCTTCAGCTCAAGTTAAACGCTCTACCACTTGAGTTACAATGCAACTTCCGGTTTTCCGGTGGCTAAATAGAGATGAATCTCTCAGACTTTCCTGCCCAGACTGACTTTGAACAACAATCCTCAGATCTCAGCCTGAGTAGCAAGGATTACAGGTGTGAGCCACGGGCACCCAGCTTACAAAAACACTTCTAACACGCTAACTCAAATAGGCAGCAACCAGGATTGCTCTTGGCCATCAACTAAACTTTGTTGTATATTTTATCTTTTTGCTTCTCTGTTAATTACACCGATCCTTCCTTCGAATATCTGCTCAAATGTCACCTCAGTGAAGCCTTCTCTGAACATACTCCCCTACCCACACAACATTCTATACGTTATCTGGTGTATCACCTAATATACTTTCATATTTACCATCTGACCCTCCCCCATGGAAGTTCCATGAGAGCAGATTTTCTTCACTGCATCTGAACAGTTCCAGGCACAGTAGTGGGCACCAATACATCAATCTATCCTACACTTACACAGCAAAACAATAGCAGAAATTAAGTGTACCTTGTGAAATAATGTAGCAAGTATAGGATATTCAAGGACAAAAGTCATCACATATACCTTACATTTCTTTAAAGTATCCATAGAACACTTTAAATAAGAGAAAATAGTTTAAAATTTAAATATATGAACCACATGCTGGTGGCACATACCTGTAATCCTACCTACTACTCGGGAGGCTGAGATCGTCTGAAGGCAACGCCAGTAGCCAAGTCTATGACTCTTATCTCTAACCACCAACTCAAAGTGGAGCTGTGGTTCAAGTGGCAGAGCAGAGGCCTTGAGTGAAAAAGCTAAAGAATAGCATTCAGGCTCTGAGTTCAAGGTCCAGTACAGACACACACGCACGCAAAGTATATTCTCTATGCGTGGTGACTCATATCTGTAACCTTAGCATTTTGGAGGCAGAAGGAAGAGAACTAAGTCAGGCCAGCCTAGGCTAACAATAAGACTCTAATTCACAAAAACAAAACAAGAAAAAGCAATTAAAGCACTGTCTACAATCCCAAAGTGGGTAGTTCTTACAATATAATTCTCTTTAAGTTTATCTTTAGCTGATGTAGTAACAAATCACAATTTTAATTCCTAAATCCTACTACAGACCAGTTCTGTTCTTTGATCTCACCCACACTGTGTCCCCTGCCAGCTCAACCAGTCTGGCAACTTTGAAGTCTGGCTTAGAAGTTAGTGTGCTTCCACATACCTGCCCCCCACCCCAACCCCGCCCCTTTCACAGTAGTGGGGTTTGAACTCAGAGCCTCCCTTTTGCTAGTCAGGCATACTTACTACTTAAGCTATACTGCTTATAAACTTGCAAATAATATAATGCTAAATTTTAATTACAATGGTCAGGTTTGAAAGTTATTTGTAATTGCTGTATGTGGTTTTTATAATTTTACTTCTAAGCTTACTATAACCCTTATATTAAAGCATTATAAGCAACTAAAGAAAATATTTTCTATTATCACTGGAAAACTTAGTGTGAAAAATCACATTATTAATGGAGGGAGGGTTAAACCATACTATATATGACATTACAAAGTCAAACTACAAAAATTACAGGTCAACTGGAATGCTTACAAAAACTAAAAAAAAAAAAAAAAATCCAAGCTATTAGATATAATTTTAGTTTCTATATGGCAACATTTCTGTCCAAATAAGATAAGCAACCTTGACCTCTAATAGAAACTTTTAGCCTGGTGCCAGTGGCTCATGCCTGTAATCCTAGCTACTCAGGCTGAGATCTGAGGATCATGGTTCAAAGCCAGCCAGGGAAGAAAGTTTGTGAGACTATTATCTCCAATAAGAACCACCAGAACTGAAGTGGCACTGTGGCTCAAGTGGTAGAGCACTGGTCTTGAATTGAGTGACAGTGTCCAGGCCCAAAGTTCAAGCCCCACAACTGACCAAAAACAGAAAAGAAACTTTTAAACTCCAAGTCTACTACCAAAGGTAGTACATTGGGCTTACATCTGTAGATCAATTTTCTTACCTACACAATCCTGGACTTCTTAAAATGCTACAACTGCAATTTGAAAAGGCAGCGAAGACCTTGAAGTGTTTTTCAACTGTTCTTGTGTTCTAGCATCATGAAATAAGATTTGGTGAAACTAAAACAGGGCAAACCTCTTTAAACAGCCAGCACTTAGAAGAATCAAACTGATTCTTGGTTGTCCTTGTTCTTATAAAAGCCAGGGACTCCCAAATTAAGTCAATCTTTAACCATGTAATCCTAGAGAATAACACAGCCGGAGACACCAACACACCCCACTTTTCTAGTTCAACCAGTAACATAACATGAGAAACTGCGCTGTGTAATTCCTTTATTTTCTGCATTTTAGTGCTTTGCCAACACTACAACCATAAAGAACACAATTCCAAGTACTATACTTTTTAGTTTGGGAAGATCACGGTCTACAGACTCATTTACTTAGACAAGATCAATCTCATTCAAAACTTACTGCAGTTTATAAATTCACATAAATACAGAAATTGATGCAATTAAACAAGAACTTCAGGATCTTATTCTTTTAATCATTAGATTATAACTTTTTTTTTGCAGGCTAGGAGTACCTGCTCCATGATTATAGTTATGATTCAATTTAACTACATCAATTATAAACCTTTCATACGCTTAAAAGAAAATGTAAGTGAAAATTACAATTTCTTTCCAAAAGGTTTAGGGTTTTCCAAATTTCAAGTATTTTCTTTCCCCCCTCCCCCCTTTTCAGACATTTCAAATAAAGTAAAAGTAACCACATCTCACCTGCAACATTCAGTAAGAGCAATCACTTGATGTATAAAATTTTAACTATGTCCCCCAGTTAAGACAAAAAAAAAAAAAATGGCTGCCTATCAACCTGTCTGTCACAAGTTAGAAACACTACATTTAAGAATTAACATGAGGGTTTCAAGTTTCCTCCAGTTTAGGCATTTATACCTTTGTGCTTGTTTTGTATCAGGATGTTACTATAGCATTGATATTTGTATAGCCCATGTTTATGTACCTTAAAATGTAATCACTTAAAAACACTAAGAATTACATTTATGGTGGAGCTTTAGGAATTATAAACAGCAACCAAAATGTTCTTAAATGTGATTATCAGCCTCATCTTTAGCTGAGAACATACTTTTAAAGTGAAACTGAGAACGTTATAGTTTAGTTGCATCTTGAATTCAAAAATTCCTCTGCCAGCAGGAGCCTACAACATAGCACCTTTTCGCATCTGCTTTAAGTAAAATGTTTTATTTTGAACACTTGCTTTTTTTAATACCCTTCTGCATCTCATAAATCTTTGGTAAAAGCTCCTACAATATGGCCAAAACGTGAAGGACCAATACTGTCCAACTATACCATGATATCCGGTTCAATTTGTTTTCAGACACCCTCATAAACAAAACCACTCCAACCTTTTTCTATATACTTACTGCCTTTGCAGTCTACATTTCTGAAATTCCCTAAGTTTTATTCCTTGAGGATCACTAAAATTAATCCTAAGGCCATGTAAGAACCAGATGTTGCTTCCTAGTTCAGATTCAAGCATTAACATTTGGTTCAAAATGTTAGTGGTCTCAATCTAGTTACAGGTCCTAACTAGTTCTTGTTAAGATCTGGATACCACCAGTGAGCACACTGCTTACCCTTAAAGAAAGTTTACATTCATTGTCATCTTGTAAGTTCTTTCTCTTCATCCCACTTCCCCTTTTAATCCTCATTCCTCAAGTCTATACATCATTCATTCATCACATTTCTTTCCTTAAAGATGGTGTACTAAACGAACCAACAGGGTTTCTATTTGCATGAGTTAATCCTACAATCAAGTAAAATCAAGATTTTTCTTAATATTTTTTCCAGTGTTCTAATTAATGGAGATGTAATCACTTATCTATGAACGATTTCATCTTTAAATCAGTTGCTGTAATGTGAAAACAGGAATGTGTATTTTTTCAACTAGGTAAAAGTTGCATATAACTTGAATTGTTTGCTTTCTTTTAAGTGAACAAAGTAAATGTTTTAGTAATTTTAAAACTACTGGTCTTAGACATTTGAAGTAATAGTATATATTCCAGTTTTGCCCAAAAAGTTACTTAAAATATCTACAAATAGTTCATCTGTGTGGCATACACCATTATTGCTCCATTTTCCGGAAAGAGTATATTTTTAAGAAAAGAGGAAAACAGCATAGTAAAGCTGCTAATTAACTTTGCAGTGTAAAACAATCTGCGTCCTTGACTAGTTACACTTTTCATTATTTTTATGCAGCATAAATTAGCTATGTTTTGAGGAACTTGGGTTTTATTCCTACTCATGCATGATATACGTTTCAGAACTTAGTTGTTGACATTTCAAAGAACCTCTTACATTACCTGTTTTAACATACTGATGTGCAACTGGAACATATTACATCGGTATTACTCATTATTTGCCACTGTGGGCTATTTACCATACTGGTCTTAAGATATAAAAGGTCACATTTGAAATTACTAAGAGCTAACCAGGGAGGAGAGGAGGCCTTAAATATAAAAGACAAACGGCAGTTTGATTAAGCAATAATTTTCAGTTTACTAGATGAAACAGACTTGCAACACAGTCTGCATGAATGCAAAATAAGCCATCTACAGCAAGTGATAAGGAAACTGGGCAAAAAGGAAAAAAGCATACATTGGAAAAAAAAGATTCTCTCGAAATAAAAAATCAAACCATTATTATAAAGGACTTTACCAAGAAATGCTATATTTCCCCACCCCATTTGCTGGAAGTCAGTAAGAGCATCTAGCACTGTGTTCAGGTCAAATGTCAAATCTGAGCATACTAACGCAAAGCCAAAAAGGAAAAAAAAAAGAAAAAAAAGATAATAAAGGAAAAGGGGGAAAAAAAAAAGAGAGAGAGAAACCCCAACCCCCACCCCTAAAACGTAGAACAGTAACTCCAGAGTTCAAATTCAAAAGAGAAAGTGGCAATTGAAGAGGTGATGATGGTGGCGATAATCCTATGAATGGGTTTTTGATTTCTCTCCTTCCGGGAATGGGTGGAGAATGCTCATTAGGATTTGTAGTTAGAGGTTAACCATGTGAGCCCCTCATAGAGTCCGTCCCCCGAGGTGGCACAGGAGGGCTGCACATACCAGTTCCTGTCCCGAATCCGGGTCAGGCCCAGTTTCTCCTGGATCTCGTGGGGTTTCATGGCATCGGGCAGGTCCTGCTTGTTGGCGAAGATGAGGATTATGGCGTCCCTCATCTCCCGGTCATTGATAATGCGGTGCAGCTCCTGGCGGGCCTCGTCGATGCGATCGCGGTCGGCGCAGTCCACGACGAAGATCAGACCCTGGGTCCCGGTGTAGTAATGCCGCCAGAGCGGCCGGATCTTGTCCTGGCCGCCCACATCCCACACGTTGAACTTGACGTTTTTGTAAGTCACCGTCTCCACGTTGAAACCCACGGTGGGAATGGTGGTGACCGACTGGCCCAGCTTCAACTTGTACAGGATCGTGGTCTTGCCGGCTGCGTCCAGCCCCAACATGAGGATCCGCATTTCCTTGTTCCCGAAGATTTTGGATAGCACCTTCCCCATCGCGTCGGAAGTGCCGGGGCCGGGGGCATTCAGGTGTCCCGGGTCCCCTCTACCAACAACGCCGCCGCCGCCGCGAGACCGAAACGAAGCCTGCCCCGCCGCGAGGGCGCACGAGCGGCCTGCCTGGAAGTCGCCTCCTGGAGGACAGAGGCCCGGGCCCGTCGCTCACTCGCACATCACCGGCCACACAACTCAAAAGCCTCC